ACCCCCCCCCCCCCCCCACACACACACACACCACACACTGTGTGTGCCTCTGTGTTTACATGTGTGTGTCTGGTGACTGACCTGATGAATGTCGTTTTGCCGGTACCGTTTTGGCCGAGCATGACGATGATCTCGGAGTCGCTGAAGTTGCCTGCCTCCACATGCAGCTTGAACTTGCCGCCCATCGTCTTGGTCAAGGCAGGATACTCCGTCGAATGCAGCCTCTGACAACAGCCACAGCCACCACACACGGACGGACAATGCATACGCGCGTCTCTCTCTCTCTCTCTCTCTCTCTCTCCCGCCCCTGTCTGTCTGTCTGTGTGGTGGCTTGGCCTGGCCTGGCTGGCCAGCCCTGCCCACCTTGATCTCTTCATCGAGCGTCTCGGAGACCCTGAAGTTGAGCGACTCATCCCTGAATCGGAGGTTCTCGGTGGGAATGAAGCCGTCGAGGAAGATGTTGATGCCCTCCCGCACCGAGAACGGGGTCGTGACCACGCCGTAGACCCCCGGGCACCCCCACAGACAGCAGATGAAGTCGGACAGGTAGTCCAGCACCGACAGGTCGTGCTCAACCTGCATGACATGAAGGAGTGCACGAGAGGGGTGAGTGGAGTGGAGTGGATGGCCTTTCGTTGGATGGAGCAGTGGTTGGCTGGCTGGTGACTTAGTACTGACCACGATGATGTAGTTGTCGTGTTTGATGATGGACCTGATGGTCTGTGCGGCCTTGAGCCTTTGCCTGACGTCGAGGTAGCTGCTGGGCTCGTCAAACATGTAAACATTGGAGCTCGTCACGCACACCACACAAATGGCGAACCGCTGCAACTCACCGCCAGACAACTCGTCAATCTGAAAGCATCAACACAGCACACATATACACGATGGACGAATGATTGCCACCCCTCCCCGCCTCGCCTCAGAGCTCTGTGGGTGTCTGCTGGCCTACTTGTCGTGTCCTGATGTGCTGCAGGTCAAGTGTGGTCATGAACGTCTCCCCCTGGTCCATCTCGTCCTTGACCTTGATGATCCCCTCGACGGTCCCCTTGACGTTCTTGGGGATGCTGTCGACGTACTGCGGCTTGATCGTGGCCTTCAAGCTGTCCTCGAGGATGCGCGTGAAGTAGCCCTGCAGCTCGCTGCCGCGGAAGTGCCCCAGCACCTCCTGCCAGTCCGGCGGCGAGTCGTACTGACCCAGATTGGGCTTCAGCTTGCCTGCCAAGATCTTGAGGGCCGTCGACTTGCCGATGCCGTTGGTGCCGACGAGTCCGAGCACCTGGCCTGGCCGCGGCACCGGCAGGCGGTGCAGCTTGAATGTGTTGGGACCGAAACGGTGCGTGGTGTCCTTGCCGAGGTCCTTGGGAAGGTTAATGATGTTGATGGCCTCAAAGGGGCACTTCTTGACGCAGATTCCGCAGCCGATGCACAGCGGCTCCGAGATGAAGGCGATCTTGGAGGTCGGCTCCACCTCGATGCAGAACTTGCCGGTGCGGTTGACGGGGCAGTGCTTCTTGCACTCCTGCCGGCACTTCTTGGGCTTGCATCGGTCCTGGTTGACGATGGCGATGCGCAGCTTGGACTCATCCACCGGCTCCTCCTTCTTCTTGCCCTTCGGAGCCATAAGCCTTACACAAAAGTCAGCGGCGACGCACCGAGAGAGATCCTCAGCAGATCAAGAGCTGCGGTTCGGAGTACGGCACACTGCGGTTCCTGTGGTCCTCAGAGAACGTCGTGTGTTGTCCCTTGCCGATAAAAATGCGAGCTCAGAGTTGCGAGCTTAGCTTGGGGAGGGAAACAATCACCAGGGAAAACAAATCACACTCGTGGTCCGTCCCGCATCTAATGATTACACCTGAAGAGAGCCGACGGCGATGGGTGATGACGTTGAAGTGAGCATCATCGTGCCCATCAAGAACGGAGAGGCGTTCCTGGATGAACTGTTCGAGTCCATCGTCGCACAGACAGCGCTCCGTCACCTCTCCATCGAAGTGGTGGGCTCGCGCACAAGAGATCCGTCGTGCTTGTTGCTTTTGACTCATCATCGCGTTATCAGGTGCTTTACAACGACTGCAGCACCGACGGCACTGCAGGCATGATCACACAGTGGGTGCCCCGCCTGCAGGAGGCCGGGCTCAGGACAACAGCTTCACACAACACCGATGGCCACTCGGGAGGAGTTGGCTGTGCAAAGAACAGAGCAGGTCGGTGGCTGCGCATCCATCCATCCATCCATTCATCCATCCATCAGTGGCAGATGGTTGCTGTGCTGCTTCTCAGTGGCTCTGAGCCGCGGTCGGTTTCTCTGCTTCCAAGACGCTGATGATATCATGAAGAATGAACGAATTGAGAAACAGGTGTGTGAAGGCACTGCAGACCACTACTTGACAGCCAGACGTGTGTTTGTGTGGTGTGGTGTGGTGTGTGTCAGCACGCGGCAGCGCAGCACCTGCAGTGGTCTATCGTCGGGTCGAGATTTGAGAGGTCAGACCCGATCTGCAGACAGACAGACGGACAGACAGGCTGGCATCAGTTTGTTTCTGTTCGCTTTCATCGCAGGTGGCCTCCGGGCTCGACAGGGCGCTATGCGGAATGGTCAGCTGCACATACACGGAGAATATAACAGTGATGGTTGTCATCGTTTTCTTGGGTGCGTGGGCGCGTCTGTCAGGCTGAACAGTCTAGGTCCTGAGTCGGTCTACACACAGAGGTTCCGCGAGTGCCCTGTCGCCATGCCAACCTGGTTCTGGTGAGCGGCAGGCGCAACCCGCCAAAGTCACGGTTGCATGCTGTGTGTGTCCTGCTGCAGCCACCGTCAGGTCTTTGATCGTGTGGGCGGCTTCACTGTGAGAAGAACGAGTCAGTGGCAAAGGAGATCGCTAGGGAAGCTGAGTCGTTTCGTTCGTTTCGTGCGCTGTGCTGTGGTGTGTGTATGGTGTCTATGTGTTAGAAGGATGCCGAGCGTGCTGCTCCGGAGGATCTGATCTTCCTGTACCAGCACCTGCGGCAGGGGGGAGGGCTGCACGTCGTTGACCAGGTGTGGCGGCCGCAATGAACACATACATCCATACGCGAAATGCATCAAGCATCGTGTCTTTCCATCACTCACTGCAGTGTCTGCTGACCTACCGGTACCACCCTGAGTGCACCTCATTCCGTGTCGACGCGCGGGACATCTGGGACGTCAGGCAAGCCATGCCTCGACGCGACGTGACGTGACGTAGGCACCAGTGTGTGTGTGTCGGTGTGCAGGGTGCGTGAGTTTGAGTTGTGTGTGTTGGACCACTGGCGGGCGTTCGGAATCTGGAACGTGGGCAGGGAGGGCAAGAGACTCCTCAGGTCGCTCTCACTCAACAACCGACGAAAGGTGATTTCATGCATGGGTGCGGCCTACCGACTGTCACCCACTGTGTGTGTGTGTGTGTGTCTGTGTGTGTTGCCTTGTGTGTCAGGTGCATGCTTTCTACGACGTCGATCCCGTCAAGCTGGCTCGGGTCGTGTATGTCGACAAGGATGATAACAACCGACGCATACCCATTTTGCACTGGACCGCACTGCGGGCAATGACACGCACCCGGCCACCGAGCAGCCCATCAGCAGAGCCGCCTCCCTTGGTGACGCCGGAGGGAAAGGTGAATGTGGGCGCGCTCAAGCTGGTCACGTGCGTCAAGTACATGCTCACCGGTAGGTATGGTTCGGCCGCTTCCTCAGGTGAACCGATTGGAATGCCGCAGGCAGGAATGGGTTGAGTGTTGGCCTGCCTCCTGGTTGATTGGTGGCCGTGTCAGGTGGTGAGTTTGAGTCGTATTTGTCGTCTCTTGAGCTGGAGGAGGGCGTTGACTACTTTCATTTCAGCTAGCTAGCTAGCTAGCTTGGAGGGAGGGAGGGAGGTGGGGTGTACAGAAAGACAGACCTGAGTTGAATCTCTGTTATATAGACCATTCGAGACGAGCGAGAGTGTCTGCAGGCATCCATCCATCCATCCAGTCAGTACATCAAGCAAATAACACGTCCCCCACGTACTGGCAAATCCCTTTCCTTCTCCACCCCGTCGGCATGGCAGCCACATCGATGAGCGGAGCGAGCGAGTGGACAGATAATGGTATATAGGCACATAGGTAGGTGCAGACGACAGACGGCACCATACCCAGTCAGTCAAAGCAGCTACAGCGCTACATACAAGCCGCACCCGAACAGCAGAAACACAGTGAGTGACTAACGTCCGAGTCGATTGTTCTGTCCCTCTCAGTCCGTCTGCGCGCACCACAGATCAATCAGGACACATCTCACCCGCGCCGCAGACGTAACGACATGGAAGCTCTAACCCTTCCATCTCGTGTCGTCAGCGGCGCAAAGGCGATGTGCCTGAGTGCATCGATGCGCACGCACGGGGGTCCCAACACGTCCATTCTTCCTTCTCGTTTGCCAGCTGACTGACCGACCAGACATTCCTCTCTCTTTCCACACCATCAGAATCAGCAAGGACGCTTTAAAGACCAGTAAGTCAGTGAGTCAGTAGTAAGTGTGCAAGCAAGGGAAAAAGCAGGTAGGTGGGCAGGCGGGAACGCAGGCAAGCCAGATGGAGACCAAGGGAGGCAGAATCGATAATATATGGGCAGGCAGGCAGGCAGGCAGGCGGGCGGGCGGGCGGGAGAGGAGACAAGCAAGTATGTAAGGAAGGAAGCCACGAGAGGTCAGACTAGCACAGTGCGACAGGGACATTGATTGATTGAGTGATAGCGTTATGCATTCAACACACGAATGAACGTATGTATGTATGTATGTATATGTATGTGTGTGTGTGTGCTGACGGCTCGAGCGCGTGTGAGCGGCACCGACCCCCACACCCCCTCCCCGCCCACCATTAGCCCCCATCAAGAAGAAAGTATGCATCAAGAGGTGTGCACGATGCCTACCTTAGCGATTAGCGAGACCAAATAAGCCGAAGACAGACAGACACACACGGACGGACCGACCAAGACAGCTGATTCTTACCAAATCACACCACACCACAGGACAGGTATGTCACCATACCATCACACCATCATTGACACGCACTGTCGAGTACGTAAAAGAGCCATGTAGCCAAGCGTCTTGGGTGGGGGCGAAGAATTAGTAAGGATAATTACGATCGATTGATTGATTGATTGATTGATTACACAGACACTGTGAGAAAGCGTCCTGCTCTGTCTGTTCCTCTCAAGTCAGCAGGTAGGGAACGGAGAATAGGGAGAGGGAGAGGGAGAGGGAGGGAGAGGGAGAAGGAGAAGGAGAAGGAGCGAGTCAGTCAGTCAGCAGTAAGGTTAATTAGAATGAATGAATGAATGAATGAATCAATCAATCAATCAGTCAGTCGGCCGCCCGAGCGGAGCCGAGGGGTGCGGTGTGGCGGACGTTCTTCACACAAGAGGACACAGAGAGAGCCACACATACAAGTGTGTGTCGATGCACAATGGATGGAGTCAACTCGTACAGACAGATGAGATGACGGGAGAGAGGGAGGGAGGGAGAGAGGGAGAGACAGAGACACAGAGACACTGACACACAGATGACTGATCTACCTGTCGATGATCCAGATAGCCAGCCGCAGACAGACGGACGACCAGACAGGCAGGCAGACCGACACATAAAGGGAGGCGAGGCGAGCAACACACACACACACACATGCAGAGCCACCCCACAAACCCCTTACAATACAGATGATGTTTGATGTCGACACACACACACATTCGCCGCAGACATTGACACACACAGAGAGATAGAGATAGAGCTTGGAAGGAAGGAATGAATCAACGAATGGCTTGACGGACGGGTGAATGAGCAAGTGAGTGAGCGAGCGGTCAGCGGCCGCTCAACCGGGCCTTTGCACGACCCAAAACCTTCATCCCTCATGAATGAACGGATGGATGGGACGCAAGGACACACACATACCAGCGGTGGACGCAGCGAATGAACACCCCGAGAGAGAGAGAGAGAGAGAGAGAGATTGCGGAAAAAACCCCACACACACCCCCAACAAAACACAAACAGCGAGGGTTGGGTGGGTTGGGTGGGTGGACAGAAAGACGGTCTGCACAGACTCATCTGCATGTGAGACAGATGAGGAAGAAGGAATGAGGCAGAAGAAAAACAGACATCTATGTGAGCGCGCATTCATTCGGCCATCCACACACCACAGCCGATTGGATTGCAAATGCACCCACCAGCAGCCAGCCAGACAAACAGACTGACAGCCAGCCAGCCAGCCAGACGGACAGACGGACCGACATGTAGAATGCTCGGAAAAGGGCACAGCAGGTGGTGCTGTTGCAGAAAGAGATCAGCCAGGACCGACGTTGTTGCCGGCGTATGTGTGTGTGTGAGGGTGAGGGTGAGGGTGAGGGTGAGTGTGTGTGTGTGTGTGTGCCCAGAGGTGAGTGATGATATGGGAGCAGCACAGCACAGCACAGCACCACAGACCACCAACAGTCCACTAACCGACCAAACAACAAGACAGCAGCAGCAGCAGGTCTTTCAAGTGTCCATCGCCCCCCTCTCCCAATCTCCCTCCCTCCCCATCATACATCGTCCACACCAACCGGATGAATACAAAATTCCAAAAAGGCCGGCCCAAAAGGCCGCCGCCCGTGATATCTACTGTACTGATGTCGTATGGATGTCATGGATGGATGGACCAATGCGATCGTGTCTGTACGCCATGCCGGTAGGTAGGTATCCAGCTCTGTGCACTGCACGTGTGTGTGGTTGATGCACTCACTGCACGAGTGGTAGAAAAAAGAGAGACAGACAGGCCAGCAGCTAGCTAGGCAGCTAGCTAGGCACCTAGGTAGGCAAGCAGGCAGGCAGCAGAGGGGAGAAGAAAAACACTTCCGACACACACCGTGTGCAGGTCAGGTCAGCTGTGGACCTACGTCACACGGGGTGCCGCTCATGAATGGCTGCATGGATGGGTGGGTGGATGTGTCTATCTGTCCGTGTGCGGTGTGTGTGTGTGTGTGTGGTGTGTGTCGCGGGTGGTAGGTATGGCCACAAATACCTACCGATGATCGATGTGATCATGTCATATGTGTCGACGTGTGTGGTGTGGTGTGTAATCAATCGTTCAATCGTGCCTGCCAGCCAGCCAGCTCACCACACCCACAGCCCAGCCCAGCGCAACACCACAACACCACAACACCACAGCAGCAAGACAAAAAACAGATAGCCGCACGACACAAGACAACACGCCACACAACGAACAAGTCGACAAACAACACAACACAACACCACAAAAGGCAAACCGTGGCGCGCGTCGTGACGGGTGCCTACGCACAACACAACACAACACAACACAACAGAAAACAACACAACACAACACAACAGAAAACAACACAACACAACACATCACACCACAGTCATCTGCCTGTCCGGTGAGTAAGGCACGGCAGGTGACTGACTTTGATGATAAAAAGGGTGGCTGGCCGGCCTGACGTATGGGCGGGCCAGTCAGCTGATAACAGGTAGAACGAATTCCATTCTTCTCTCTCCTCCTTGTCCCACTCACTGCCGTCTGTCTGTCCTGTCCTGTCCTTCTGTCTGTCTGTATGTCTAGCCGCTAGCTAACTCTTAACAATCTGAAACACCAACCAACCAACCAGCACTGCTCTTATCTTAATCCTTCATTCATTCAAAAACATCACATGGGCAGGCCGATTGGATTGATCAATCGACACACTCACTCACTGCTTAGAACACAATCCCCCACACGACACCCACCCATTATATCGCCCACACACCCCACCCCACCCGTCCAATCCAACGACCAAATACGGCATAAAAGTCGTCACGCACATCGTGTCACATACATGGCATGCAGTCAGTCAGTCAGTCATCTCCCACTCCCTCTTTGGCCAGCATAGCGTGTCTGTCTGTGCACAGCTGCGGGCCGGTCTGCCTCTCATTCATTCAGCTCCCTCGTTGATTGATTCATTCCAGCTCATCTCAGCTGCCCGGACATAAAAAGTATGCAGACAAGGCAGCCAGCGAGCCAACAGGGACAAAAGAGACCGACCGCGCCAGCAAGCTAGCCAGGGGAGGGGAGGGAGAGGGGGAGGGTAAGGGACATCCTATCCATGACCATCCACTCGCGCAGGCATCCATGTGTGTTAGCTACATGCAGACGGGTGAAGGAAGGGACAGACAGATGGGGGCGAGGGCGGTTGCTTGCCTCTGTTGTTTGTCTGTCTGTCTGTCGTCGACCGATAAAAACGCCACGACACGCCACGACAGACACCGACAGCAAACACAACCACAACCACATCACAAACAGATGAATAAATGCGATATAGACCCACCGACCCATCCGACCCACCCGGCCATCCTATATGTGTGTGTGTGTTTCGCTCCTTCAGACACTCATCCAATCCATCCATCAATCAAGATCAATCACTCATCGACGTGTGTGTGTCGCAAGGCATGCGTGTGTGAATTAGCAGCTGTCTGCCAGCCCAGCGAATGGAAGACTGGAGGGATGGGTACAGAGCTCGTGGTGGATGGATGGATGGATGGATGGACGGGTGTGTGTGTGTGTGTGTGTGGATACTCACTGACTGCATGGACATGGAGGTTGGGTGGATGCATGGAGGGATGCACAGATACACCGATACACCGATATGCCACATCACACACACACACACACACGCGTTTCCCCAACATTCACAGACACAGAGAGGGAGCATCATTCATTCACCCACTCGCTCACTCATCCACACGAATGATGTGCACATGCCCGAAAGTCAGTCAGTCAGTCAGTCAGCCAGACAGTTGTACGCCATCCCATCCATCCATCCATCCATCCATCTCTGCTACCTCCCCCCCGCCCCTGCCCCCGCCCCCACACTCAACACCTGTTGGGTCGAGTGTGCGAGCCCCGCCCCGTGCCCGCGTGTGGGCCCACCACCACAGCCATAACCACACACGTGATCCACCACTGCTGCTGCTGCTGCTGCATGGGAAGGCGGGGAGGGGCAGGGAACATCGCCATCATACACGTGATCGTCATCGTCTTCATCGCCGTCCATCACGCCCCACTGCCGCAACGTGTTGGCCAGTCCGCCAAGACGCCCGCTGCTGCTGCTGCTGTTCCCCCTCTCCCTCGCAATCTGCTGCTGATGGTGCTCCACACCCACACAGCCGGCAGAACCCATGGCTGTCTTGTCGACAGCAGTGGGAAAGTCGCCGTGGTGTGGCGGCGCCGGGCTGCTGTCGTCCGTGTCGCTGAGGACCGACCCAACAGGCGACATGAGGACCGTACACCGCGGCCACTGCGCCGGTGGGGGGGTAAAGGTGGAGTGGAGGGAGTGGATTGAGAGGGAAATGGCTGCCGGGAGTCGCGGGAGAGCCAGGTCAGATTCGGTTGGCGGGGCGACCGAGATGGTGGGGATGTCATTGCCGTTGCTGTCGGTGTCGTCCTGGAGCTGTGCCTCCTCGCTCTCGCACGGCGGGAAGGACACCACGACCCTCTCGGTCTCGAACGCCTCTTCCGTCGTCGCCTCCACACCATCAATCGTGCGCGGCAATCGACCAGACGCAACGATCTGACCGATATATCGACACATAGCCAGCCACAGCCACCCTTCTTGTTGAGCGCCCATATATATGTGTGGATTGGATCGGTAGCTCACTGACCTCGTCAACCGATCGCTCGTAGTGCTGCACAAATCGTCTGCACTCGTCCTGTTCCACTGAGCTGACGCCGCCAAGGGAGGAGGGGGTGAGCTCGGTGCTGGCCCGGCGCGGTGAGTCGGCTGCGAAGAAGCTGGTGCTGGGTGTGGAGATGAGGGAGAGGGTGCAGGCCTGTGCCTCGCCGATGCCGATGCTGTTGGTGCTGGTGGCGGTGCTGCCACAGGTGTGAGTGACGGCGAGTGAGAGCTGGTGAGACTTCTCCTCGTCGATGACGGCCTCGTCCATCGCGTTCCACGCCTGCTGCTCTTGCTGCATCCACACACACAGGGGAGGGAGACGGGGAGCGTTAAATGCATTCATTGATGGGCTCTTGTCTGTGTGTGTGTGTGTGTGTCTGCCGCACCCACCTCTAGAGCAGTAGCGAGGTCTCGTCTAGCGGCCTCCAGTATGTAAGTGGGACAATAGGGACTCTCCCGAAAACGCCTCCTGAGCAGGTCAGGTAAGGCCATCCCATCCATGCATGTGACTTCGTCGAGTCTCTCTGGGCGTGCATTGCAATCAATGCAGTGAGTGGCTCACTTACATGAGCACGAACGCGAAGGGCAGCATGAGTATGTGGTTCATGACCAAAGACACCGATGACGCCACGCTCAATGACAACACCGAATACCTAACACAGAATGAATGACACACAATCGGCGTGTTGTGTGATGTCCGTCAGTCAGTCTCCTAAAGTAGTTCTGTGTGGGGTGTGTGCGAAAGAGTGTGCCCACTGCGTACCACAGTGGTGCGTGTGTGGGTCCGGTGGGCACCATAGCAGGGTGTCCCCGTTGAAACTTGAACCGCACCAGCGTGTGGTGGCCGAAGGCATAGTGGATCGACATCGCCCATATACCCACACACACCATATTCACAAACACCCTGCACCATACCATACACACCAAACACACACACGGGTGAGGCGAGAGCCTGTCGGTCTGTCTGTCTGTCTGTCTGTTTGGGTGGTTCGATTCGCTCACTGACATGGCTATGAAGCGATTCATGCCGATGTGTGATCGCACTTTGGCTGATATCAGTCCCCATGCCAGCGTCAACAGTCCAAACACAGTCTGTTCAAACACACAATCACACACAAGCCACCGCTGTCCGTCCGTCCGTCTGTCGGTCTGTCTGTCTGTCTGTCTGTGTTTGGTTTGTGTCTTTCCCTTCCCCCGACCTCAGCAAGGGTTATCCTCAAGTACACCCCTGCAAGCACAGCACAGACGAGACATTCAGAGGCTGCCTGGCTGCCTGGGTGTAGGCGCACGTGCGCCGCAAGGCACGGACCAAGGTAGCAGTGTGACGCTGCGAGTACGAAGAGGCTGAATAGCGAGAGCCACCAGGCCACAATGAAGGGCTTCGTCGCCTGTCTCTCACTGCTCGCTATCCGCTGCACGCACAACAAACACAGCACACACCACATCGACCATCCTCCCTGCCCAGCCTGCCCGTCAGTCTGGTGTGCGTGTCGGCGTGATCTGCCCTACCGCCAGTCGCCCGAAGCCTCCAGTGTCCATGGGCAGGGAGGGCGGCAGGTGCCATGCACGAGGCCACGTCGCCAGGCTGGCTCCTCGATTGCTTACCGGGGTCAGGTCGTGTCGCACACAGAGATCTGCAGCAGCAATCACCAGGTTTGAGGGCTGCTACACAGGCAGGGCAGTAAGACGGGAAATCACAAAAGGAAAGAGGGGATCAAAGCAGTACGCTAAGCTCGCAGGTGGACAGCGATCGCGCGGATCCCAGCACTTTGGCTTCCGCTGACTAAAGGGAGGGAGGATAGACACCCAGGAGTTGGAGGAATGCGGAGAAAGATGGAGATGGGATGGGTTCCTGTCGTGGTCGATCTATCTCTCCCCAAGAGAGACTCTCTCCGCACGGGACGACACGCCCACAGGTGAGGGACACGAGAGTTTCTGTGTGTGAGCAGGACCCTCTTATGTGCGTGTGGCCCTTATCTCCCTCTTATGTATCTGTCTCTCGTACAGGCGTCATGACTGTCTCTCGAATGGCGAGAGTTGTGTCAGTGCCGTGTGTCAAGCCAGCCCGCCAGTCAGCTCTGCTGTGTGGATAGCTTTCTGTGGTGTGATAAGACAGACAGACAGACAGACAGGGCATGTGATCGGATCGTGAGTTAGAGTACATTCAATCACTCCAATGACGGACGGACGCAATGAGATCCATTCTGACTGACTGACTGATCGCCCACTGACATATGTCCATTCCACAGACACTGACTGGCAAGACCAACCAAAACATCCGACACCGATGGATGCACCGAGCGAGGTACTCCTCACTGGGTCGCTCGCAAACCGGCGAGGTGGGATATGATGTGTGGGGATGTGTTTCGCTCACACATGATGCACAACCAACAGACCGATGGATGACTGCCGTCTGCATGGCATGACTCAACACACCACACCACACCACATCACACAACGCCACACCACGCCAGCAGTGGTGCACACAAATACGCCACGCGCCGCTCTCACCGGATGGCTGGACGGATGGATGGATGCCCCGCCACCCCTCCCCTTCACCACCCGACCCCACATCACAAAAACCAGCACCCATCACCATTCTGGTCAGGGCCCTCTCTCTCTCTCTCTCTCTCTCTCTCCCGCTCACTCCCACTCCATGCATCCGGCAGGCAGGCAGGCAGGCAGACGGCCAACTGAGCAGTAACGGACGGATTGGTGGGGAATCGTCGGCCGAGAAAAATACAGCGGTTGCTCGCTCAGCAAGAAGGAAGGGGAGGGAGGAGGGAGGAGACACTCCCACGCTCCACGCTCGCTCATGCATCCACGCACTCTCACGGAAGGCTCTCTGGGATGATGTACGTGTGTGCGCTCATTCTCACTCATGTTTGCCCGTCCTTCTCTCGATAGCTGGCTGGGTGTCTGGCTGGCGGTCTGTCTATCTGGTCCTTGGAGCTGTCAGGTATGCCGCCCCGCCCAGAGGTAGGTAGACGAGACACTCCAGCAGCAAGAAGATAGTCCGCCCAGCCAGCCAAGACACGATCGGAAGCTTTGATACCTAGAAGACTCTTTGCTCATTCGCTCTGTCTCTCCCACTCGTGTGCTCTTCCTTCCTTCCTTCCTTGCTTGTTTGTGTGTGTGAGTGCCCGCGTGTGAATCAATCCACTGCAATTGGCAGACAGATGGGCAGACAGGCAGGCAGGCCAGTAGGCCCTGTGCACCCTCGTACCAGTACGCTCCCATCCATCCATCCATCCAGAGAGAGAAAGCAAGCAGCGGCAAACATAACGCCAACTCGCGCAAAAATTCAGGCCGCATGGCGGTCATTCAGAGAGAGAGAGAGAGAAAGAAAGGGGGTGGGGGGGTGGG